AACATTTTTCAAAAAATTTTTGCTTGCATCAAATAAGCTGTGAGCCACTGTATATCCAATCAGTTCATTTCGTAACTAACGAAATAATACTATATTCTTGTTATTATATTATATGAATTTCATATCTCTTCACATTATTTTTAATATTTTTATCATTATTATTAATATATAGTATGATCATTAAGATATATACACATAAATTTAATGTGTAGTTTATAAACTTAGTCTATCATCAAAAAGTTACCCATTATTTCGGTTTCACGCTGTTACTCTCATTCACTGAATAATATTTCTGTTTTTTTATGTTGATTGTTATTATCCATGTGATACTGGGGCCACGGTAACGTCTGACTTGTGAAATCTATTTCAATATACCATTTGTTATTTGCGGAATGTATAAATTAATCAGAAACTTATTTTCTAGAGGATTCAAATAGAGGAACTCGTATTAGTTACAAACCACTTAAAGTAATTGAATTTATATTAGTTATGCAGTAAACGCCTGCACTTTACTAAAGCAAGCAGTTAGTACGCAACGTACATTAAAAAAAAAACGTCAACGTGTAAGCTAAAATAAATGAAAATTGCCAACTAACAACTATAAAAAAAGAAAAAAATCAAAAAAAATAATTTCACAAAACCGTCTGTTCAGAACGTATTACGTCATTTTCTAATCTTTAAATTCTTTTAGATAAGCTGATAATTAATTCTTAAAATGTTCTAACACAATAAAAACAGAAAGTTCTTATTCTTTATATGTAAACAATGATGCTATCTTCTAATTATTGTTATATATACCTTTGCAGAAGCTTCATTTTGTTTCCTAGTAAGTTATAACCCATTAATTCCAAAAAGTGCTCGTTCTTCTTATGTAAATAGAGCATCATATTTTTTTTTATAGATGCTTTTGCAAGACCTGAGTATCAATTCCTAATCCGTACATTCCTATTCTTATTCTTATATAAAGAGAACATAATATTTTTCTATATGAATGCTTTTGCAAGACCTAAATTCCTAATCTGTCCATTCTTATTCTTATTCTTATATAAAGAGAACATAATATTTTCCTCTATGAATACTTTTGCAAGACCTAAATTCCTAATCTGTCCATTCCTATTCCTTTTCTTATATAAAGAGAACATAATATTTTTCTCTATGAATGCTTTTGCAAGACCAAAATTCCTAATCTGTCCATTCCTATTAATCGTAAACAGCACTCGCTTTTTTTATGTAAATAATAATTTATTATTTTAAGATTTCAATTTCTTATCGGTCGATTCCTATTAATCATAAGAAGCACTCATTTAAATAAAAATACTGTCTTCTAATCTATGTATCCTTTTACACAAACTGTATATTAATCTCTAGTCTATCGATTGCTGTTTATCATAAAAAGCACTAGTCCTTCTGATGTAAAGAAGAGCATCATATTTTTATCTATGAATCTTCTTGCAGGACCTACATTTCACTTCCTAATCTATGAATTCGTATTAACCGTAAAAAGCGGTCGTTTTTCTACTGTAAAATAATAATAATATAAGCCGTATTCCTTCGGAAACATAGACTATTTACATAGAATCGCCAAGTACTTCTGTTTAATGCTAAATGTTTCCATTCGTTAAATGATTTATTAGTTTCCTGCCGGATATTTTAAACCTACAGAAGTTAATATACAGAAGTTGTCTGTCTCAATAACTCTCCATAAGTGTTAAAATCTTCTAACCTATAAAATACCAACCAGTCTATTCCTTCCTAGTGTATTGTAACCTACTTTCGAAACGATTTTTATACGAGTATATGTACTATATGTTTCGGAAATCGTATCGAGTTTAACATATTGTAAACAACTTCACTTTTAGTTTTGGAACTTGGAAATTATTAATTTAAACAAAATCGAAATTAATTTATTCACTCAGCCTAAAATTTCATAAATGCCAGCTCTAGTGTTTGTATCTGTTAAACTGTTAGTTACGCCCAAAGCAAAGGTGTAAAATATCAATTGCGAATATAGTGCAATTTACATAATCAATAAAAGTAACTTTCTTATTACGTTGGTTTTTTCTTGTATTGTTTATTATTTTTTTTTTTATATTTTTTTATTATTTTTCTCTCTTCATTGTGGTCAGTCAGTTTTTGGTCTCACGATGCGATTTAAATTCCATTTATTTTTCGATTTCGTAACATTGAAGCGAGCAGTTAACCGTCAAACTTTAAGCAAAAAACCGACAAAATTTATGTGTGTTTAGCTTCATGTTTAACGCTGCGATGGTGTATCTCATTTCTTCGCATTTACTTGCATGTATATGTTTCATATGTATTTCATTTCATTTATAGATACAAATATATATTGCACGGGATTTTGTTGTGGTACTGCCTTGCCTGCCTTGTCTGCCTCGCCTGCCTACCTATGCGCTTGTTTCTTATCAATGTATCTGTTTTATAGATATTCACTTTTTATAACCATGAAGTTGCTTTACAAGAAAAATAATCGTAACTAACTTACATTGTCTGCTATTGTTGTTGTTGTTGTTGTTGTTGTTGTTGTCGATATTATTATAGCCACTACTGTTGCCATTGTATCGGCATTGTTAACTTTCTCCACCTGTTTTGACTGACATTAACCACAAAACAATTGGTTGCTTGTTTCGGTTAGGTTTGGCTTGACTGGACTTGACTTGTGTTAACTTGGCTTGCTTTTGGAGATCAACTGTTGGTTGCTAGTTGATAGTTGCTAGTTGCTAGTTGCGAGTTGCTGGCACGCTTGCGATTACAAACTTTTTTAATTTGGCAGGAAATTTACGCATGCGTTGCGCGTAGTTGTCGCAAACACTCGCAACATAATTTGATAAGCAATCCAACGTTGTGCTTGCTCGTCCACCACATTGACGAAGTGAGTATCTGACAGTTAGAGTGACAGTCAGACTGTCTAGCTAAACATTCCTCACCTACTGCATGGATGGATAAACACGTCATGTTCGTATTTTCTTTTGAATTGCGTAGCAAGTTACTTTATTTATTTATTTATATTAAAGTGCGATTTGGCATTCGATGAATGATTTTAATGCCACATAAATTACAAATTTAAGTATCGCAATGTTAAGATACGCAGATATTTTTTTAAACAATGCTTGCGTGTCGGTCTGCACGGGTTTATCTGTTGCGGATTTTTATGCCGTTTTGCTTTAAATATACACATTTTTATTATAAATTCATTCATTCATGCAGATTTTTTTTCCTCATTTACTTTTTCCGAAAACATAACACGTTTCCTTACATTACATTTTTCGGAATTTTATTTAAAATGTAATTAAAATGAAATATTTTCAAAGGATTAACTTGCATGTTCAACATTAATTTTAAAATAATTATTCTATGTACATATTAGAGTAGTACTTTTCAATTGCGTATGTACATATGTGATGAATATGACTAATAATTTAAAAATCAAATTATAGAAACTGTTAATAATTATTTTTTTATTGATTGCCTAAAAATCGAAGAGATTTATAGTTAAACTTTGTAGTTTAGTTGGAAGGTGGGTGTGACTAATGCATAGAGAAGCCCCCAAGCAGATTTTATTAAGTGAAAATTAAGTCGAATGAAATGTAGTGGGGTGAAGTGAATACTATAACGAACAGAATTGTGTTCTAGTACTCTATTTAAATAGAAGGAACATAAAAAAGTAATAAATTATATAGAAAGCATTTTTCACAAAAAAAAATTTAATATAATCGATTTAATTAAAATTGAACTGTTGATATAAGTGAAGTTAATTTGATACTTAAAAGCTGAAAAAAAACATCAGCATCATATGTTATACTAAAAAGAAATAAATTAAAAATTATAAAAGTTCTCTTTACAAAGACTGCTTACTTGTTAATATTTTTATACAACGTAATACTTTTTAAAAATTCACAGCCACAGTGCCAGTTAAATACTCTATAAAACGTATAACAATCAAAAAACTGATAGATAACTGCATTAAAAACACAGACTAAAACTGAAAAAAGAATACTGTCGAGAACTTCTGTATAATAGTTTTAATATTGTATTTTAAATGTTATATTTTATAACAAAAGAAAAAATATTTGTATTTTTAATATTAATATACTTTGATCTCATACTTGTATTGCTTGTTGCACAATTGCAACTATTTGATACT